TAACTTGTATTGTTTATAAGCCACTACCACATCGTGTGACTACGTCTATTGTTTACAAATTATAATCCACGACTGGCAGGATGCGTGTCGGTCGGTGCGTCGGACAATAGTCCTGGTCGGAAGCGTGGCAAGATCCCTGATAGCTACGTATTTCTTTCTATATTTCGAAATACAGTTCACAGGATGAACAATGAAAAAAGCACTGTGGTGGTCTTACTAATCACCGTGGCGGCTCGAGACCACAGTGGCGGGCAGGAAAAGCAGCGTGGCGGCCCCACACACAAATTGAATGCTGGGGAGAACACTGGATAAAACGCCTGGTGTACAGTGAAAACAACAAGAATTTTATTGAGATTTTTCTAGATGTTTTAAGAGTAGAGCAAATGTGTGTAAATAAATTTGTAGACAAAGTTAGCCAGGAAAATATTTTGAAACAAAGTCAGTGATCAGTTGTTCCAATGTTGCACAGCCAGAGTAATCTCAATGACAAAATCTTCTTTCAATTTAGGAAGTATTGGAGTGGAGTTTCAGAGTTCTTGTGTAGCGGCTATATTTGAAAAGAACAAAATGTGACACTCCCACTACATTAGAAAATGAACAGCTGTGTATAGCTGTCATCTCTCAATAAATCTTCTGCATTATCCATACACAATGACAGAGAAGCTACTGTAAAATCTGTATTAGAAGCTGCGGCTTCTATTAAAATGGTACAATGCAACAGAGGGGATGCGGTTTCTATTAAAGCATCTACACATATGAGAAATGGTGAATTTTTGGTTCTAAATTTTTCAAAAAGTATGGGTCCGGCTTATATTAAAGAATTTACAGTGCTTCTGTAAACAACCATGAATGTGACTTGTCTACACCAATTGAAATAAACAAAGTGCATCTTTTCAGTTTTGTAATGAACATTACGCTGATTTCCAGAGTTATTAAGTAATTGGTCTGTCCTCTAGGGATGGACTTAATGAAGAAGAGATCGCTGCCAAGGAAGCTGAAGCCAAGCAGATGTCACTAGATGAGTACAAAGCACAAGTAATAATGGAACGTGAAAAACTTGCCAACAAGTTCAATTTTCGCAAGGCCGGCGAAGGGGAAGATCAGGCGCAATGGAAAAAGACCTATGTATTGAAGAATAAACCCGATAGCAAGTATGATAAGGTAGGGTTAGTTTGTTTTTGCATAATTGTCAATATGTCACCAACCACCAGTAAGATTGCAGGTTCAACTGCTAACTCAGCACTGAAGAAGAAAAAAAACTGGACGAGGCAACTTGCCCAGGCTTATATTTCTAGTTGATATGGGAGTATGTAGTGTGGCATAGGTCCTAAAACTTTTTAAAACTTGATGGAAGAAGTAACCAGTTGACCATTACCTAGACGTTGATGCATGTCATTTTGAATTTGTAAAGTCTACTTAAGATGGCAGACTCGATCCCATCAATCAAGTCACTCAATTTAAGCAACACCATATGAAGCTATAAAATATTAATGTTAAAAAATGTTTGCTATGCACAGGACTAGGAGCTAAATTATTCTTAAATGTGTATAGTTTGAAGATTAAACACAACTAAAGTATGTGATTTGGATTATTTTAAGAGTCACAATGATTATGAATAGGAAATTTCACGCTAATGGATTGTTCTATGCTGTTGACATTCATTGTCGCATTTGACTGAACCCCACACAAAGAAGTTCGCTCAATCTGTTAATTAATGTTTTGGATTTCGGCATTCCCATGATGTGTTTCTGGGAGGAAAAGATGTACAATAATGATGTTATTATGAGAGTACTGCAAAATTTGCACACCAACAGTAAGCGGTTGCATTAACCTCTCTGCGTGTCTGTCGATACTCCCGCTGTACTGTCTTCGTGCATACTTCGCAGTACCCTTGTAATAGCCTCTTAGTATTCAATGATTGAAATTTTTGGTTTGAGTGCCTCTATTAAACAAAAGGTCTGACATTTATATTGTCTATCGAGACTTAGTTGCATTTCTGTTTATTCTCAGGCTGCTGATGATAAATTTGTACGTGAAAAAATTTCCAAACCGACTGTGGATATCGAGATCAAATTTGCTGATACCAGTCGTGGAGGTGGTCGTGGTGCCGGCAGTGGCCCAGGAAGACGTGGTGGTGGTCGTGGTGGCGGCGGCCGTGGAAGACGTGGCGGGGGTCCAGGTAGAGGCAACAACAATATGAAGAACCAATCAAGCTTCGGTGGAGGAGCTGCTCCAAGAATGGATGACGAGAACGACTTCCCACTGTTGGGAAAATAAAAACTTGTCTAATCACGCGTTGCGCATGATGGCAATGTGTGCCAAATATGGCTCTTGACGTACGTACGAATGGGAATATTTATATGAGGTATCTGCTTCTTGAGGACAGTCTCAACTGCTTTAAAAAAAAATCTATTAAAAGCTCTCCTGGTGTATCTTAGACTAGATGAGTTTAAAAAAAATTAATTAATTTTCTTTTTATTGAAGAAAAAAAGCTTTTTTTTTTTACCATATTTTCTTTCACTTTCACTTTCATTTTCATAAGTATTGTTACAGAATATGTTTATTAAAATAAGCTGCCGATACTGTTTGGTATTTTGACAAGATTGAATTCAGTTTATTTGAATCACTCTAGCTTGTATAAATACATATGAAATTGAACACTTAAACGTAGATTTTGATCTTAGTGGGACTGTGGACTAAAAGCTCCACCTCACCGTGGTTGTAACAGTACAATCATTTACTGTGCTGGCACTGATCTATGTTTACAATTGTGGCTTTGAGAGGTAATTTAGGCGCAGTCCATGGGAGCTGTTTATGTTTTGTATTTGTACACATTTTACTAGCACTGGGGGACGGCAGATACCCTAATGTCAGGAGAATACTCTTTTGGCACACTGTTGGCCAACCTAGGTTGTTCACTAGATGTTTCATGAACTATTATTGATTGGTAATGTACATCACACCACCACCAACTTTACTTGGATTAGGAATATACTGTTTGTGTTAAAAACCAATTATGTGATTGAACACGTACACAAACCTACTGTTTCTAGTCAACCAATAAAAATAACCTTAAGCTCTTTACCATTGTTTGTGAATCAATTGTTTTCTGTCAGTGTTTGGGGTTTGAAATGAAAAGTCCTTCCCCATTTTTTTTTGTCATCTCTGCTGTATTGCTTTGAACAACTACAAAAAAGTGAGAGGAAAGTTTTATTCGCTACTTGGATCATGCAAGAACTGTCTGCTTACTCGTAGATGCAGACAGCTTTAAAAAAAAGTCCAGTCGAATAATTAACTGCCATGCCCCTGTAAGGAAATATGAATGTTCTTGATACAAAGTTTGAATAAAATTACCCCCCCCCCCCCTCAGAATGGGTCCTTCGAAGGTACCTCAAACTACCATACTGGGCTGCATTGACGTCCAGTGTCCTCAACTGAGAATGATTTTTTTCAGAGTTTGTGCTTGCCAGAGCACCCCCTAGGAAAAGGATGCAAATGACAATTTTAATTAATCTGACAGATTGAGTGGGGTATTGCGTCTTTGAGGGGGAAAATAAACTTGCAAAACATCTTCATTGTCTCCACTGACGAATGTGTTTGATCACACGCAAACTCTTCCGCCATGGTGTGTTCTTCATTTGACCTGTAACAACGTTCTTTGACCCAAGTCTTGTTATTCACCAATCGGAATGTACAGACTCAATTCTTCGAATTTCCCAAAGACTTTCTGGTGACACGCTGCAGAAGTGAATTGGCATTGTCGAAGTACGATCTATAGGAATCTATTTTGCAAATTAACATGTTTTTTTAAAAACGGCGATTTTTGATAGGTAAGCTGAATATTGCATGAAATATTTACTGCATTTCACTTTATTAACAGGTCGTTGTCAAAGCGTAGTTCACGGTTACTGTGGTCTACGCATTCGCAATATATTCACGGCAGTCAATCACTATTATGTAAAAACGATTGCAAGTATTCCTTAAGTTTTAAATTAGTAGCATTTTGAAGGGGTGGGTGCTTTGCTGAATGTGACCTCTAACATAAAAGTTGCCCAAAAGTGGGTAGGTGTGCTTGATCGTTAATGCGGTGCAGTACGGTAGTAGTTTTTAAGTAGTAAAAAAAGTAATTATTGATGGACGATGACAATCGTCTATATGAACATCCGTTTTTAGCTCCATTGTCATCTAACATTACAGAACGAAGTTGATGGGATGACTGGACCTGTCAGTCATGCATTGTCAACTTCTTGCAAACCGTTAGCTCGATCACCTAGTCTGATTGCATTGAAATTTGGCATGAATGTTCTTGACATGGACTAGACTCTTACTAATTTTATGAGACCATATGCAAGTGTCTATTTTTAGCTCCGCTGTCGACTTTGTCGAGCGGAGCTTATATGAGTGATTGTCCGTCGTAGTCGTTCGTGTCAATGTTTTACTTTTTCAACTTCTTGAAAACTACAAGCCTGAATGCTTCGATACTTGGTGTATATGTACCTTGGGTAGACCTCTCTCAGATTTGTTCATTTCATGATATCTTCAATTCTCTAATTTTGGTGAATATTTTTGGTAAAAAGTGATATTTTCGACTTCTTGTTAAAAACCGCAAGTCCAATTGCTTTGATATTACATATATAGGTACTACATGTGGATCTCTCTCAGATTTGTTCATTTTGTAATATCTTTAGTTCTCTAATTTTGGTGAATATTTGTAATTTTTGGTAAAAAGTGATATTTTCTAATGGTTAAAAACCACAATCATTTATGGTGAAAAATGATATTTTTGAATTTTTGTTGAAAACAGCAAGTTCCATTGCATTGATACTATGCATATTGTTCATTTTCTAATATCTTCTGTTCTATAATTGAAATGTGCATTGCAAACAGCGGAGCTATCTCAGCCGAGAGGCTGCTTGTTTAATAAATATTTTTTGTTCATTTTTGCAGTTTTGACTTTCAAAACCGCCTGTCAGATTGCTTTGAGATTCATAATGTAGACACATGGACAGGTCCTCTTTCAAATTTGTTTATTTGGTGAAGATATCTGTATTTTTGTGAAAGTTATTTTTCCCCTCGCCCGTTATATATGGGCTATGTATAATACATGAACTAATGGGCAAGTGTATTGTTGGGTTCTGAACTACTTGGGCCAATGTTTTCAAAAATGTTGAATTTCAGGTTAAGGTCAATGTTTTCCATGGTATTTTTCAGTACACATTGTGTTGGGTTCTGAACTACCTGGGCCAATGTTTTCCATGGTATTTTTCAGTACACATTGTGTTGGGTTCTGAACTACCTGGGCCAATGTTTTCCCATGGTATTTTTCAGTACACATTGTGTTGGGTTCTGAACTACCTGGGCCAATGTTTTCCCATGGTATTTTTCAGTACACATTGTGTTGGGTTCTGAACTACCTGGGCCAATGTTTTCCATGGTATTTTTCAGTACACATTGTGTTGGGTTCTGAACTACCTGGGCCATTACTGATCAGATTATAGATTGATTACATCTGCAACATTGCGTAGCTCTCTTTTAATTTCTATTCTATTTTCAGTTTTAAAAATCTTGACTGGCCATATCATACTCCACGATCTCCATTTCTTCAAACTGGTAATAATACAATGACTAGTTTCTTATATTTTAGTGAATTATTTTTTATATCTTTATCACTCCACCCTACGTTTCCAACTCTAAGTTAAGAATTACAGTGGAGCTCTTTCAACCGTATAACATATGACGTTTGTAAGTTATACTGATCGAAACCTGACGCATTCAGCTACTGTATTATTTTCATTAAAATAAATGCTGTCATGCATGGCTGTTTTAATTCTTCATTGGGAATGTGGTAAACACATTTTGCCAAGAAGTGTTTGATGTTCATCTGGATGCTGTAGTAACATATAAAACATTCGTTCTATGAATTCAGAGTAATGAGTACCAGGTAACACCTCGAGTGTGGTATGCATACTAATTCTAATTATTCAAAAATAATCTCTGCAAAGCTCCTATGTTAATACGAGTATATGCAATCATTAACATCTAGAAAATGAAAAACAGTAATGGCATTGGAGAATTTTACATAGGCTGAAATTAAACAATATGCAAATGAGCTACTTAATATGCATGGAAATTACCCTAAAACTAATGTCTGCACATTACCCCAAAATACATATGTACTAAATTTAATCAAAATCTGCTGGGAAGGTTTTGAGATTTCGCATAAACAGACTGAAATGAGATTATTAATATGCAAATGACTACTTGATATGCATGGGCATAAAATATTGATTTTGTTATTTAGTCATTTTTGATCGTTAAACAGAATCCTGGGCGGAAGTCACAACCGAAGCTAGGAAACTACTCTGTGAGGTTCAGCTATTGGCAAAGGAAATATCTTGTAGCTGTTGTATTCATTACAGTACAAATATTACTTAAAGGGGAACCCATACTATAAATAGGGGCAAGATGGCCACCGCAATTAGTATGCTAATCCGAACCAAGCTGCTCACATTGTGGCGGGAGCTCCGGGAATTGTGTCATTTACGATGTTCAGAGATCAAGCTGTGATTTCAAATGCATTTTTACGAGGGCATGAATATGTACTCTATCGATTACACTCATCTGGTTGGGCTTTTGATGTATAAACGTTGCTGTTTTCGGTCGAAACGTGCCGCGACAAGTAAAAATCCTGCATTTAAAATGGCGGCTAATGTATGCAAAATGCCTGTCAATCACAGTTTGAGTAAACGAGCATAATAAGCATTCATTTACTTAGTGGACAGAGGCGGAGTTAATTACCCATGAGCACGTGGTGCAATCCATGGGATTGAGTGGTTCCCCTTTTACATATAAAATGCTGGAATTACAACTTCAAGTGAGTGTGTACTCGCGTTGATCAGTATATGCATATATAGTAATTCATCAAAATTAAGGATCCTTTCAAAAGACAAATGTCATTTTATTTTCAATATTAGATAGTTCATACAGTCATCAGCAGGAAACATTAAGGTTGTTAAATAAGGTCAGAGTTCATGGTCGTCAGCATGGTACATTTCACTTAGTAGTCTATATACGTAGGATGGAGCATTCCCTCCACTGAAGAATAAAAATAGATAGTTATGAAATTAACAACGTATCAGTTTCAGTATCAGTAATACTGGACTTTGGCCTATCAGCAATGCTTGGTACTAACTGGATTTTTTTGAAGTGCTCGTAACGTTTGTAATATACGGTATACACTAATGTAAATTTTACTAAATCATCTTTATTTTAATTAAAAAACCACATTTACTGCATTTGCAGAGATAACACAGCAATGGTAAATTTCATTGCGATTGGGCCACTTTCAACATTAATTACTAACATTAATTAAAAATCATGAAATGGTCTTCATTTTAAAAAAAACTTGTCATCACTCACAGAAATGTAAATTTAACATCAGGAAAACATATCGACACCTGGCTAACAATATTTCATCCTTAGCAGTTACCCAGGACGGTAGTCGTCATGCAGCGTATGCTCGAATTCAAACAATGCATGCATTGTGTGAGTCGCTATGAGTCCCATATTGAACATGGCGCGGCTCATCGACCACCGCCCTTTAATTAACAAGTCACATGATTCAAGTATACTCACAGATTTGATATGAATAGAGTTACAAGTTCAGGGGGCACATAATCGTACACTGGGTTTGCAATCTGTAGTTTAGATAAAAGTTGTCCTTCTGAAAATTTCATAACTTCGTTGGGAGTTTCCAGCTTGTTGAAAGATTTCTGTTCAAAAAGAGAACATGAACAAATTTATCCTAGAGTACACTTTTTTTAAATTACCTCATATGGCATTATGCAAATCAAATGATTAATTATTCATCATAAGTGCTGACACATAGTGCATTTTGCCACAGAAGTCATATTCATGTTTGGGATAACATAACAGAGCTGTTTGGCCATCCTCCTATCAAATGGCAATTCAATGCGCTATCCTGGCATCAACCAGGCTTGGTCAAACACGGGGGAAAGATGAGCATTCATTTACTTAGTGGACAGAGGCGGAGTTAATTACCCATGAGCACTTGGTGCAATCCAAGGGATTGAGCGGTTCCCCTTTAACCATGGTTCCCCCAAAGTTGCATTTGTTAGTGAATGAATTCGGCCAGTGTGTGGTCTGTGGCACACTCACCCAGAGTAAGGGTCACCCCTTGTTCAGTCTAAGGTAGGATTTGAACCAACCAGTGACTGTTGATGTTACGCAGAGTGTAATTTGCATAAAATGGACAGGAAGATGGCCCCACAATCCATTGCGTTCTTCTCATAACCATGGTTTTAATAAAGACTCAATCTTGGACTCCCTAAGATAATGATAACTCAACCAGACTCCCTAAGATGCTAAAAACTCAATCATAAATACATTTACCTGAATGTTGAATACCGGTAATTCATGATGATAAATATTTTCTTCAGTTGTGATTAGTATTCAACTTACCTGATCTTTAGTACATAAATATTCTGGTGACAATTTAAACATCTGTACACATACAATCAGCTGCAAGCAACAAAACACACTATCAAATACTATTTCAAGATTTAACTTTTTTCAGGTACACAATTTACAGCACAATTTTGTTAATAAAAAGGTATAGACCATTTTGAATCTGGGAAGGGAGGGATTTATACGAAAAAAATGTTGAAACAAAATTTCTAGAAAAACTAAACAAGATTCAAAAGTAACACTACCACATCAAAGAATTCAAATGATCTACCCCTTAGTAGAAAATGTTGTATGGTGATGAAAGTTACAAACATTGATTACTGTAAAATTTTCGCTTGGAATAAATTTTCGCTGATGGAAAGATTCAGTGAAAATATAGTCCCGCGAATATACCTTTTGTTCCTATATTTTTCATTCAACTCGTCAAAAATTAGTAAAAATAAATACCATACAAAACACCCAAAAGTTAATCCAGCAAAAATTAATTGCAGCTATAATAAAGTATTTTACAGAAAAGTGCATGTACTCACAGGTACTGAATAATGTTTTGCTGCTAGCGCTATAGCATGTGTTCCATTCATTGCTTTCAATCTGCAAATTAACATAGAAAAATAATATTAATATTGAGTACATATAAATATGATATTTTGAAATGGCAACACCATTTTGATTAAAATCTAATGTAATGTAATATATTTTGATATGAAAACAAGACTAGCTGTTACATCAGCTGGTTATCAGACTTTGTAAGGACATCAATTAAATAAATGAAATAACATGTGTACCAATGACTTACCCTCCATTTGCTATGACATTATTTGTACCAATAATGACTTACTCTCCATTTGCCATGACAGTATGTGTACCAATAATGACTTACCCTCCATTTGCCATGACAGTATGTGTACCAATGATGACTTACCCTCCATTTGCCATGACAGTATGTGTACCAATAATGACTTAACCTCCATTTGCCATGACAGTATGTGTACCAATAATGACTTAACCTCCATTTGCCATGACAGTATGTGTACCAATAATGACTTAACCTCCATTTTCCATAACAGTATGTGTACCAATAATGACTTACCATCCATTTGCCATGACAGTATGTGTACCAATGACTTAACCTCCATTTGCCATGACAGTATGTGTACCAATAATGACTTACCCTCCATTTGCCATGACAGTATGTGTACCAATAATGACTTACCCTCCATTTGCCATGACAGTATGTGTACCAATGATGACTTACCCTCCATTTGCCATGACAGTATGTGTACCAATAATGACTTAACCTCCATTTGCCATGACAGTATGTGTACCAATAATGACTTACCCTCCATTTGCCATGACAGTATGTGTACCAATAATGACTTAACCTCCATTTGCCATGACAGTATGTGTACCAATAATGACTTACCCACCATTTGCCATGACAGTATGTGTACCAATAATGACTTACCCTCCATTTGCCATGACAGTATGTGTATCAATGATGACTTACCCTCCATTTGCCATGACAGTATGTGTATCAATGATGACTTACCCTCCATTTGCCATGACAGTATGTGTACCAATAATGACTTACCCTCCATTTTTCATGACAGTATGTGTACCAATAATGACTTACCCTCCATTTGCCATGACAGTATGTGTACCAATAATGACTTTATTGACTCTTGACATCATAGCGAATACCGCTGAGTCTGTTATCACCGTGGTCTCTATACCAGCCTTACCAAGACTAGCCGCCAGATCCTGACCCTGTAATAACACAGAGATGAAACACTTACTTGTCTTTATTCTAATAATAACCATAGATTATGATATGCATCATAATTTTTCCACACAAAATATTTGGTGAAACATTTGTCTATTTTTATGTATTTTTCTATAAACTGTTGACTAGGTTTCAACTAAACATAATTTTCTATTGGTCTTGATCAAAATTTTGAAAAAAAAAATTTGAACAGAAATATTCATTGTATTCAAGAGAAAGTAGCATGGGTATTATGAAAAACAAAATGGCCACCAGTCGGCCATATTGTTTGAATCATGAAAAAAGTATGACGTAAACCAAGAACACAATATGTATGATCATCATACCAACTTCGATCCAAATCAGTCCAGTCATCTCCAGAAACTGCTGCGGACACGTTTAGGTATCAGAAATAGTAAATTTACATCCAAAATGGCCGCCAGTCAGCCATTTTTCTCCGATCATAAAGTAACTTGGCGCAGTCACATATGTAAGACATTACATATTGTCTTCATGTAAAGTTTGAATGAAATCAGTTAATGGGTGTCCGAGATATAGCTCCGGATGTATGTACGGATGGACCGAACCCAATTTAATAGTCCCCATTTTCAGACTTCGTCCGAACTGGGACTAAAAATAATGTGGGTTTTGTTTTGTATAAAGTGATGAAAGAGTTTGATGCTTATAGTTTCATGCGCATGCCAAATAAACTTGTTCCAACCTATAGCACCACTGCATGTCATTCATGTATGTTCCTTGGTGTTCATGGAAGGTTGGAATTGTGGAAGCTTTCACAATCACATCAGGCACTCAAAATAAAAATCTTATTTTTATCAGATTGCTATCTACTTTTGTTAATATGCTGGAAAATTTGACTAGAGAATACTACTAGGCTTGCATCCACCAACCTTGCTAATAAAACCAACGTCGGTGAATCAAGATTCCCACGTGGTACACACTTACACATATATACGGTGAGGTGTGTGATGTTAGCATAGTAAATTTCATGTTTCAGGTTCCACTGCATGCAGGCAGTTTAAACTAAACTAGAACGATGCTAAAAATTTAGAAAGTTGTCATCTACAGTTTTTTTTCGTGACATACAATGTTAAACCTATTATCTTACCTGATATGAAGGAGCACACTCCGCTACTATCACTTGAAATTTTCTCTTCCTGGCAGCACCCTGTAATAGTTGGCAATGCATCAATTATTACATCATCATTTTATGATGGGAAATAACACCTATCAGCACCCTGTATTGTTCATATCATGGACTGATTTGATTTACTGATTGAACTTCAAAACCAAATTGTCGGGTCACATTTCGCCAAATAAACATATTTTTTATAAAAATTTTAAGAAAAATGCATAAACTGTACAAAATGATGGCTCTCAACGAATATATCAAGCAAATAAATGTAACAATATGATAATTGGCAGATAATTTACATTTCATAACCATCGTTAATAAGTTTCATTGAAAAAAATTAATGTACATGTCAAATTGTTGACTGACAGAAAATTTTCATTTATGGGTGTTCATATAAAAAAAATCAATTAATACCAATACTGTAAACTTGAGGTGAACTAAATCATTTCAAAGACTGAATAAAGAAAGAACAATGACTGCAAAGAAAACATGTACGTGTATACACCTAATTAGACATGTTCACAGGTTTCCAAGAAGTGACTCAACTTACTTTAAGAAATGCCTCAACTGTTCGAGATTTTCCAGCTGTCATGATCACTTCATTGGAATGGATGTGTTCTAACGCTTGAATTGCGATATTATGACCGCTGTAAGAAAATACACGATAAGTTGTTCACAAATAATGTCACTGATATGTCAAGACAGTAATTTTGTTGGCATTCACTAATTTAAAACAAATCATTAAAAAGCTGCAACAAGTAAAGCAGTGACTCCCAGAAAAACCTAATCGTTAAATCCTAATTTTGGAGCCAACAGACAAACTTTTAGTTAATTTTCAATTTTACACAAAAAAATTTGGCTATTTTTGTCCCAATCTTCTGAAGGAAAGTGCAGACGATAAACAGGATTATTTTGTGAATTTGCAATGAAAAAAGAAAACTGGGGATGAAAAGGTTATTCACGTCGTCTACATTTTATCTAATTCACATGATGGATAATATATTCCATTGTTATACCAGTTCTAGTTCAGTAAAAATCTCATCATTGTGTTAGTTTTTTCCACAAAACTTTATTTCATCATGAAACTGCAAAAAGTCAAATTTATCTAATACCAAAAGAATTGGTTTATCATAAAATATTTTCTCACACATTCTGATCAGGAAATCAGAGTTACCGGTATGTAACATTACATTAAAATCAGTAATATCCATGGCAACCATAATCAATAGGATATGCTACTTACCTGCCTTCTAACTCTGATAAAAATTCATTTATGGCTTCTATAATTCTGACCTGTTTGATAATAATATAAGTAACACAATTAACACTGATATACTTCAAGTATAATAGTAGATATAGTAGTGTGTGTATCAAGAATGATGTAACAGGTGTCAACACAAGCATTTGTTAGTTTACCATTAATAGAAATGATTATGTAGAAAAAAAGACAAGCTCCGACAATCTGACAATAGTATACAAATATGGATTTGCCCAAATAAGGATATGCCAAATATGGATTTGTCCAAATATGGAGATGTTCACAACTGAAGGTCTTCAAATATGGACGTGCTCAAATATGGAATTGTTCAAATTTAGGCGAGGGTTATCCGAACCCGCTTATTCACATAGTTCATACCCACCATAGACTCCGGTCAGTCAAAATGACTATTTTGAACTGTAGGCATTAATCAGCGATTCTGCCAATGACGGAGAGATAGAATCCAGGTCAGGGGAAGCCCCATGACCTCAAGATTCTTTTACCCCTTACGTCACGAACCCACGTGACCGAGGCCACCTGGCAGCGCCACAGGTAGCCGTCCATCACTCTAGTTCCTTTCTCTCCGCCTCGAGGACTTTGACCAACGTGACGGAAAGAGTGGGAAGGTTGGGGGAGACCCGGAGTCTATGGTGGGTATGAACTATGTGAATAAGCGGGTT